TGAGTTCAATAAATACATTTTTATAAAAAAAATTAGCTTTATATTCTTCAAAAACAAGAACTCTTACTAGAAACTATAATAATGTTAATAAATTTACGAGACGTAAAAGATAAGAGATTGACAATATTACAATGACGGAAATATAGCGAAAATATATTAATATACAATTTAAGGCATTAATAACAATAATTGTATACGTCTTATGTTTGATATTGGTGAGATTATGATAACAGATCGAAAGCGAAATTTGTAGAACGATAATCAATAAAATACAAATATTAAGTTAAATGATGATTATTTTATTCATATGATTGTTTTGTATAATTCAATACAGTTAAATTTAACAACTCACGTTCTACAGACAATAGCCATCTTAGATAGATTTTATCATAATAAAGGAAAGGTTAAGTACTTAACTGCCCTTATACTTAATTAAAATTGAAAATAGATAATTTATTATAACATAATACACTTAACGTTTAAAAAGATCCACTCTAATTTTCGATCATCAATTGTGTCATTAGTAGGGCAGAGAACTTGTAGCTCTAAACAAATCACCAAATATGCACTAAAATGTACAAGATATTAATTTTAATATTATAATGCATTAAAAATAAACATTAAAAAATAAGATTATTTGTATGAATATATTTTATTTAAACTTTGATGTCTGCCACCCACGTCCCCGTGGCTCGTATTGATATTACCTTATGCGGTGAACCATATCTGTACATAAATAAAAATGAATAACCGGAAAATAAATCTAATCGGCAATCCTAAAGACGTGTCTCAAGGAAAAACATGCGTGTGGGAACAGTCAACAAATAAATTCAACAATGTTTTGGTTGTATATTAATTATTTAAATTAAATAAAAGCGTCGATGGTAAAAATATTGATAAAATGATAAAGATCGTGAAAAAAAACAAATATGCAAATGCCACAATACGTCCTCTGTCCTAGTCATTAGTAATAATATAATATTTAGAACTTAATAATAGTCACACATTATGTAGTATAATAGTTATTATATTGTCGCATCCTGCTAAATACATTGATTGATCCCGTAATAGCGCCCTGTAATTGTAAAAATACTTCATATTGTACATCAATGGACTTCACACCAGAGCAGGTTGAAATAAAATAATTTATTATTATAATAAATTTTTGTTATTACCTATTTGATATTTCTGATATTTTTAATGCCCTATAATAACAGGAGTATAGAATTAATAGTTTACAAATAATTCAATATTATTATATTGAATTATTATATTATTCAGTTCTGTAATGTATTTGTATGCGTCAACATTTTGCCAGATACCACTGTTAAATATTATAATTATCAATTATGTGTATTAATTACTCAATTTCATTGTAGTATATGTATGGATTTTGCTTTGATTAGAGTAAAGCTATATCATTACATCCAGTACATTTTTCTGATACATGGTACATTAAGACTTTAACGCCCGTATAATAGCCAATAGGTATTATGCAGATATAATACAGCTTTATTGAATATTGGCGATGTTTTGCTACATTAAAAAATGCAATTGTTCGTCCAACACTCCATCTTTTTAAATAATCATATCCATGAGTAATACGCATTATTTCCTCATAATCTATAATATTCAAATTAATAGCAATATCCCGTGAATATTATATATTATTTGAATATATTTTCCAATATTACTATTATTATTAGTATTATTTTTTTTTTTTTTATACAATATTTATAACTTGTTGTTTACATCTTAATATTCAATATATAACGATTTTTGAGTTGGAATCTCACTAAAATAAAAAATAAATTAAGTATTTTTGACGTGCTATTTTCTATAGCCGTCTTATTTCCCTTCCTATTTTAAAGCTTAAAAATTAACTTTAAAAAAACTGAATATGTATTAATAATAGTTCGTAGGCATAAAATACATATGTTTTCCAATATCGTTTCATCATCTCACCCCCTATAATCATGAAATTAATATTTGAGCAATTAACTGTATAATATTATTATATTCTGTACCAATACACGTATAGATGAGTAGAATTTTTTAAATGTATACTGTAGATTGAAAAAATTGATTGATAACCTCAACGGACTATTTAATTTTAAATTGGTCGATCTGCTCATAATATATTACATAACACTATACAAATTGAATAATAAAAATACTGCAGTATTTTCATCATAATTTACATTTACGTGATCGTAGTAATATAATAATACTACTTTTACTCGTAAATTTGAATATTTTTTAAATAAATTATTCAAAAATGAAATAAATTACTAATTTTAAAATTTTAACTTTGGTTATGTTAAAACATTTAGTATATTATCTGAATAATTATCGTATAATTATCTAATGCAAATTGTATGTTTTGGTTTCTATAAACATCGCGATCGCGCAGTGCAATATACTCGTATATTATACAGAACCACTTTTTTTTTTGTTTTTAATGTTCATCGAGTTTGTAAAGTAGCTATTTTAGGCACTACTCTCGTAATTAATTGTTATCGTCATCTCATTAATTGGCTGGAATATCAATTTGATTTGGATTTTCACGAAGACGCATATTATAGAACAGTCCGAACAGGTAATGAGTTTAGTGTCGATAATAATAATTGTGAATGAACTGACGAAAATACACAACATTTATTTTCAACGCTGAACACAAGAGTGGTATAACATCAGGTATGTGAAACGAAAAATTGATCATTCCGTTTCGTATTGTGCCGACTTAAACGTGCAGGTTCCATACGACGATAAGTGGAGAATTACATAGGTAGTTTCGCGTGCGGATCTTGTGCGATGTACGCCACATGAGTTCTGTGTGTAATTGAAATGAAACGGTCTAACGCAATTTGTGGGTCTTTATATTTCATATGATTTTACATGGTTATTTAAGAGAAATTTCGTCTAGGAATTTTTGAAGGACTGCTGCTGAAAAAAATATAATAAACTAAAAACGCACTTAACAACCATCATGGGTACTTACCGCCGCAATGCTTCGCTATACTACACCTACTTGGCTGTACGTTTTATTATACTTGTACGCTTACACTATTCGACCAGAATTATAAAATCCTTTACAATTTACATTGCAATCGACGATTATTTTTGGAACACGACTAACAGTACCTGTATAAGAATACGTATTTTTAATATCACCTACATATTAATGATTCGACTGCAGCATAACATCATAATGGTTATTGCTCGCCGCTTAAAACGTCGTTTTCGTGACCAAACAAAATCACACGGGCGGACGCCAGTCATCAGAAACCGATTAGGTGTATCATATCGATATATTATTATTATTCAGTGATGTATACAACTATATGGTGCAGCCGTCTGTTTGGACGGATTTCTAATCTTCGTTCCGGTGTAAGACGTCGTCAAGATATTACTATTATTATTGTCTATCAGCACGATAATATATCATATTAATATCAAGGATTTAATATTGTAGGAACAACGGGCTAAACAATAATTATAAAAGCGTGTGTTGAATGTGTTGTAGTGGAAATGCGCGAGAGTGCCTACGAAACGTCATAATAATATTATAATGATATTATCGAGTCCAGTTCGAAACAATAATAATAATAATAATAATAATAATACATAATAGAAAATATTTCTTCGTTGTATTACAATGAGTTATCGGAAAGCCGTTGTCTGCTTATACATATTATATATATATAAATAACAATAATAATATAATATAATAATGGATTAATGTCTCAAAAACGAATGATAAAAAGAAAATAATAATAATAAAATACGTATAATATTCCGTTTTACGTCCGACTTGAACGTGTAGGATCGTCGGTCGGGTGAGTCCGAATATAATAATATAATACCGTGACAACTGCACGCCAGCGATTTTCCCGTCTGAAAACGAAAACAATGATTGTGTCGTTGTCGTCTCTGTTGTAATGCGCACGAGTGCCCGACACATATTATCGGAAAATAAGACTTCACCGACATTGATATGAGTATTTTTGGTAGACGAAAAACCTTAAAAACTGAAAACGAATAAAAGGGGGGTGCCTGGATCCATGGATGTGAAGTGTAAAAAAAATCGAGAAAAATTTCCCGACGACTACGACGTCTTAAATCCACAAATAACAAGTAAGTACTTACCACAAGTCATATACCGTGGTTAAGTCAGGCATTAAGACTTTACCTGCTACTTATACCCTCCATCAGGTGAATAATATCAGTATAATATGAACAGTGTATGTATATCAGTTTTTTATTTTTTTTTTAACGAAACGTTTCTCCCACTAGGTATTCCATAATATGCCATGTAAAAATTAGGACGGACGCATTTATTACCACTCGCATTATATTATACGATTAACATATTATTATTATTTATTATAATGATAATAAAATTATCATACAAACGCACAATAAACCGTTTTTCCTCAGACAATTATATTTTACAACATCGTTTATTTGAGTTTGAAAGCGAATAGGTACCTATGCTGAAAAACGAAATGTATAACAATGGTTTTTACGGTGTATACAATAAAAATATATAATTATTATATTTTATAAGTTTAATATTATAATAACATATTAATTATTATTGTCGTCATGGAACACATCGAGCAGGTTATTCGAAGGCCTATACTTAATTATCATTACCATTTACCAGTGATGGCGCATAGGGCACTAATCCCGAAGTTTCATTTCCCGAAATTCAAAACAGTCATACCGGAAATTACGTACAAAAAACCATGACAACAAACATATTTTTACATTGGCAACACTGCAAGAGTGCAAGACACATGCATTTAACATTTGCTGTTTTTTTTTTTTTTTGAAATGAGTGGCTGGCACAGTGGAAATCCTTGTAGGGTAGACAACAGGTGGTCCAAAAGCTTACCAAGTGCGACCTGCAGATTATTATTGGTAAAGATACGTAAATATATATTAAATAGTAGGTATACCACAGATTTTGAGGATAATATTATCATCATCTAGTATGCAGTCGTAATAGAGGCAAATCAAATTTATTCGATTCAAAATAAATAATACAATAACAATATTAATAATTGTGATAATAATGCTAGTTAATAATATAATATGAAAATGTTATACCACCACGATAGGTGCAGTATACCATCCGTCAATAAATAACGGCCATCGACTTCTCAATATTGCAACATGACGATGTAAGTATAATATACGTTTCATCATCATATTGTCATCACTTAGTCGGCGGCCCGTGGATCGCGTTTTCCAGTGGTCGATCATCGCAGAGGGATCGCGTTCGACGTGGTGCTCCGGATGGGCTCCTCGTAGACGGGCATGTACGAGCTGTACGCCATGTTGGACGCGGCCACCGGTTCGCCGGGCAGGCTCCTGCGGTAATGGCCACCGCTGCCGGCGTACGTGACGTGCTCGTGGCTGCTGCCCCCCTGGTCGCTGAACAGCTTTTTCAGACCAACGATGGCGGACAGGGCCAGTGCCAGCTTGGCGATGATCAGCGCTTTGCCGGCCAACAGGGCGAGCACGCCGAACGCCAGCGGTATGGTCATGCCGCCCATCATGAACGGGTACATGAGCATCGAGTTGTACTTGTTGCTCTTTTTGCGACCTTTATCAACAATATAAAGTATGGTTGAAAAAATTATCAGACAAATGTGTGGTTAAAAAATAATTGTTAAAAAAAAAATCACATCAGATAATAATATTATTTTTGAGGTAGGTAGCTACAATTTTTTTTTAACCCTGAGCATAGTGATTTTTGGGAGATGCATATTTTGTACATGCCACATGTCCGCGATAACAGGTGTGAAGATACCTACATATCGTAGTAAATCGTTTTTCTTTGTTGCCACGAGAACAAACAAACCGTATATTTAAATGCTCAAAAAAACAGCTAACACACTTGTACTTCTAATGGCGTCGTCGATGGAGAGCGTGTTGAAACTAAATAAGCTCTCCAAAAGCTTATAATTTCTGATGGCAACTGCAGTAGGAAGTCTAAGTAAGATAACGGCTATTCAATTCGTTTTTCTTGAAATTAGAAGTTTTTTAATCAACAGGTAATGATCGTCCGTGGTACGATACCCGGTTAGTGACAAATTTTTTCAGTTGCTTGTTTATTGGTTTTCGTTATTTTATATTTTATTACTGATACGCGGGCGGTTTATATTCTCAAAGAATAAATCAAAATGAAATGTGGTTATTATTAATATGTTGGGTACTTAGGGTGATTTTTAAGCATGTTTTCCACACTTTTACCTTTAATAGTATCTACATATTTTATTCAAATTCTGAGAAATTAAAAATTATTTTTAGAACTTTGTAAAAATGTGAGTCATTGCCGGTGTGCCGAATTCAAGAGTTAAAATATATAAGTCTTAAGACTTAATGATCTAATAGCTTAGTCGCACGTACTTCAAACAGAATTCAAAAATGTGTGTAGAATACTGAATAATACCAGTAACTGAGTTACATAGTGGTATTGAGTTTTAAGTGTATAAGATTTTAAGATTTGATATTTTTTTTTTCAAAAAACAAAAAAAATGGATAAAAAAAAGTACTTTAGCTGTTACTGTTTGTTGGGGTTGTTCAATGGTCCTATAGTTTTGGAGAGACAAATCTGCATATTATTTCGTTTGATTATAGGAACACCTGTTTTGTCCTGTTTAAAAATGTAGTACCTATGGCGAAAATTGACTGAAACAGTAACATCACGAATACGCAGTGCATTGTCGTAATATTATAAGAAATTAATAAGTAGATCTAATAAGGTTTTATACTACGCACCACTGTGTACTAGAGTATATGTACTCACGCAACAATTACTCCCAAAGGCGGAAAAATAGAAACTATAAAGGTGCCTATATTATACCTGTTATTACACCACATAGTAAATTCAATAAAAGTTATTCGCTTTTAAACATTTTGTTTTTTTGTTTTTTTTCATTTGCTTATAAAAAATGATTGGATAGTGTAATTACAAAAAAAAGCAAACTGTTGCACAGTTAAGGTTCTTCTTTACGTGTTGTGAAAATTTGGTAGTTCTACAACAAATATGGTGCGAGAAAAGTTGTCCCGCGCAAAACAGTTTTTGTTATGTTGTAGATTTGTAAGGTGGAGACAACACATGTGGGTGTGACGTCCTCTTAAAGAAAGAAAAATATAGGTATTTGCAATTTATTGAGTATGGTAAAATAAGTACGTTTTATGATAGGTAATTACAATAATAATATAATTACTAACCAACTAAGTAAGACGGCTCTCTGCAACAGTGAGATTGCATTTTACGAATTTAAAAGTTTTCCACCGAAATTGGGCGTGTGGATGAGCGAACAGAACAATACAGACTTATCGTAAGTGAAAGACCGATAACTGTACAATACGAGATACCATACCTCATAATATGATACAGACAATCGATATTCGGTACCTGGGTAGATGTTGACGCAGTGGAGACTGGACGTTAGAGACGTTTTAGGACGTTTGCCTGGCGGGGCAACTCATAATAATGTATAAGTACCGGTCGATACGAACAAGCGTTACAAGACGGTGTGTGAGCTAATGGAAACTTCGACAACGATTTAAAAAATTTTAATGACATTATTATAATAATAATAATTATTATTATTATTACTATAGTAGACTAGCCCACAGTGTAGTATGGCACAGGCCACCGCGGTTAGGTGTGTAGGTGTATAATACAATTTTTTTTTATGAGTGGCTGCGCGAGCGGTGGTGACTGTCCGTCAAAAAACCATATCGTCAGATCAAAATATTTTAATATTATCATAGTCGTATTAATAATTATTAATTGATTATTGTTTTAAAACGACGACGATCGAGACTCCGTATCATCGATTATTCGATCTGTGACCCGGTTTCCGTTGCAGTCGTCGCGCACCGCTGCGGTGTGAATAGGTTCACGTACGTGTACGCCACAGGTAGGTTATAACATATTAATAATGATAATAATAATAATAATAATACAGGTATGTAAGAATCGACCGATGTGGAAACCGTGTCGCGAAGACGCATCGCTATCAGCGTTTGTTTAGACCTATAGGACGATGTCGGAAGGGGGGGGGCAGGTTGACATTTCGTCCAACACGCAAATAGTGAAACCGATTTTATTTCCAAAATATGTATTTACTAGTTAATGCGTATGATGTGTTATTGATTTTGTTCTAAGGATGGCTGACAAGCAGAAGACCTTCGTGATATTAAAACAGTTGTAAGATTACTTGTAGATCAAAACATGTGTGAAAATGAAAAACGTTGACCATATAGTATACTGTAAGATATTAATTAATAGTTAAGATGAACTTTGGAAAACTAAAATATTGTCTTATTATAATAATGTTATACCTATATATTCTGCTTTATACGACCCGCTGATACAATATACAAGTGGGGTTCGAGATTATTAAAATATATAATGTACTCGTGTAAACTGCATAACAAAATACCAGTTAGATTAACTAGCTCTAAAACAAGTGTGAAAATAAAAGGAAAGCTTTACTCGAAGATCGAAAAGAGGACGGAAATCCCTGAAATGAAAAAATTGTACCCTAATAAATAAATTGTACATAATTACTCAACAGTTATAATTATAGTTGTAGTCTGCTATAAATAGTAGATGGGACAAGTTGTTGCACTCTAAAAACACGACCCAATTATGACATTTGCCGTCCCTAGATAAAAAGCTTCGTAAATACCAGTGTGTTCGATCAAGTTTTTCACTTTCACTAGCTTTGAACGTCGATATTATAGACAATATTAATATAGAAGTTGGAAAATTCAACCGAAATATTACGGCCTACCCATCATCGACAGACATGTTCGTGGAGTGCATATTATAATAATATATTTTCATCGATTTGCAAGGTGTGCGCCGTATAATATAACAATAATAATATGTTAATATATATTATTTATAGCTATTATATTTAGTACAATACTAAATTGTTATTATTGTTATCAAGATATTGATGTCACCTCGTCGTCGATTGTAATAATGTATACAAACCGATATGAGCGCGCACAATGACGATGATCAACAGGTGCATTGATAATAATATTTTATCGATTGGCCGTTACACGGTATGCGACGGCGGAAAATAATAATAATAATATTGTTGTTTACGGGATGGTCCATTTACCGTGGAGTAAGACATTCTTTATTACAGAAGACACTAAATTGTTTGAAACCATTATTTTTAAGTAAGAAACAAGTAGTTTTTTTGGAAAAATATTATGCATTTTATCATTATAAAATTGCTACTCTAATGAATAAGTCATGAATGTTAATTTTATATCCTAGAGAAAAATATTATCCAGAGCTTTCCGATCTATAAAAATCAAATTTTGGACATAATGGACCAACCTTTTTAAGGATACTCTTGTACCACTCCTCTCAGCTCGTCTAAGCTTTAAATACTTATAAATTATAACTAATATTATAAACAACTCGTCCAAAATTTGATTTTTATACATTAGTGCGTACAAATTCTGCTTTGGAATAAAAATGCATTGTCATTAAAAAAGTAAGTAATTTAAAAAATGTTAACGATTCAAGTTAGTAAAAAATATTTTTAGAATAACGAGTATATAGTCTTACGTTAATATCTGATAAATCACCTGGTATACACTATACCAAACACCACATGGGAATTTTCTGCTGTCAGTAATTGACAAAAAAGTGAAAAGAAACGCAACCCATCGTACCACTGTACCAGCATTAAAAATCAATCGTATCTACCTACAAAATTCATCCGACCATTTGGCTCACGACGATACAACGATTATGTTTTTCTGCCAGTCATTGAGAATTTAAAAAAAAAATTCACGCACACAATATAATTACAATAGTAATAAAAATATATTGTTGGAAAACGGCACGCGTCGCCTGAGGTCGCGTTTTTCAGCTGTCAGTGTGTGCATAACTACCTGCACATATGATATAATATATACTTTGGCCATCGATCTCGAGTTCGATTGCCGTCGATATGTGTCGAGTTTTAAAAATAATTTAGATTCCACACACTTAGGTATGGTACACGTTCCGGAAATTGTATTTTTGTTTCATATAATAGGTATATACTAGAAAAGGATTTATGTTTAGTCTTATCACTGATTATGGTCTAAACTCATTTTTAAAAACTATAATTTTAAGTATATATTTATTGTAATATATTAACGAATTGAAGTTAAGAAGACAATAATTACCTGGCATAAAAATATTATTTATTTATTTATAAGTAAGTCCTAATGTGTTTACTGTTTATTGGATACTTTGAATATTAGATACATACATAAATATTAAATACCTAATCAATATGGTTTTAATTTTTAATAAAATACATACCTACATATTTAAATGTGAGATTAATGCGTTTCTTATTTAGGTTGAATTAAAAAAAAATATTTATTTATTTTTCAATAAATTATAACTAATAGTAAACTGAATGTAACTAAATTTACTTTATTCTATTAAATTTGATAACTTTTTTATTTTTTTTGCTACAATTTTTATTTTTTTTAAATTTTTTTTTTTTAAAACGACTAGTTTTTTTCGACGTTGTTATTCTATTATAGTATTGTCAGATTTAAATTTATGTTTATAAATGATGATGTTATAATAAACAATTTATTTTATGAAATTGATAAAAATAAACTAATCACGAGTCTAGTGGTTTAGAAAAAATTGTATTTAAAATCCTTTTGTGTATATGAATACAATTAATGAAATATGTAATATTGAGTTAAATTTTAGTTGATTAGGTGTATAAAATAGTATAATTACTGTGGAGTTTAAGCGTATAACGTTGTCAACGCATTTTGAACTCTGCAATATTGGTGCAGTCAACAAGTGTTTAGAGTAGCTTTCATTAGGTAACAATATGAAAATGTGTTGTTTGGTAAATCAAGATTGTTGTACACAGAAATATATTTTCGTGTACCATTGTAAGTAAATGGTATACTAGCTGGTACTACAATATTGGGATACAAATATAGCACCAAAAGATTAAACCATGGACGAAAAAAACCTACGAGTTATATTCGTGTATAAAACGTTAATTATATATATATACCCATCACTTGTAACGTATAAAATGTGACAGTAAGACATTCGAGTCCGGGCAATTGACGCTCGTAATTAAAACATTTTAACTTACCATCGGCCAATTCTCTGGGTTCATTGTCTAGAAGTTTGAATTGAAGACTGCGACTCTTGAAAAAGTTCATCACTCTGTCAACAACCAGCGTGTCTAGTCCGGTCGTTTCGTCGTCACCGGCGGACCTGGCCGAGGACATGTCATGGTCGACGTCGTTTAGAGCAACAGCCGGATCTTTGACCAATCGGACGCCATCGAACAATTCCATTTCCGGTTGTTCGTTGATCCGGTCGAGGGCCGTCAACAACTTGTGCTTGATACAAGGTCCAAACTGCGGGAAAACACAACGATGTTCGTATTATTTTTAAGTATAACAACAGTGCTGGAAACGAAACAAAACGCCGTTTACCGATATCGCGGTGGAAGGCCACCGACTTACCTGAGCCTTTGAACAGTCCTGAAACACCTTGAACACCACTCTGAAGTCTCCGAGACCTGTATCGATCTTGCGGGCTTCGGGAAGTTCAGCCGCTACCGACGAGGACACGAACGCCACCGCTAATATGACTGCAACTAATCTTGACATTGCTGATGATAATTTTATGTTCGACTCGATCGGAATTATACGACGACGACGACTATCGGATATGGCACGACGGACGAAAATTATATGGCGACGACGACGACGGCCGCAAAGAGTACACGACAGCGGTTGTATAGCGGAGCGCACGAGGTTTTTCCACGAATTGTCCTGCACAGACGGTCCTTATGATTTTTATACGGCGCCCCACTCTCCCCACCTGATTTTATTTTCACCGGCCACTTTCCAGCCGACAGCCCTACACATGGCGCTCATACACACGCACACGCACACAACACATCCGGATAACTTCCCGTTGAACATAATTACACCGCGTCGTCCCACCAGGAGAAGACGACGCGATAATAATGATTTTTCGCGTCGCCCATCATCGGCGTCGTCCATTGTCATCGTCAAACGATAAATGGAGCTTGACCGATGTGTGTGTGTGTGTGTGTGTGTGTGTGTGTGTGTGTGTGGAGAGTTCAAGAAAAATAATATAAAAGAGTGAGTAAGAGAGAAAAAGAGGGGGGGGAGAAAGAATAATATATATTATATGTAATACATTGTCTGTGTTTGTGTGTGTGCGGTCCCAAGGGGGGCCATGTATGATGGGCACCCACCGCCGGCTATTTTTGCACTTAAGTATACACTCAAAAATAATACCGTGTGAATATAGTTTTTGAGCGTTTGCGATAAAAATTTTCCATTTCACTATCTATTCCTATTTTCGTTTTTCGCATTGCGTTTCATGTGTGTGTTTATGTGTGTGTGTGTGTGTGTGTGTGTGTGTGTGTGTGTGTGTGTGTGTGTGTGTGTGTGTGAACGACGTCATCATCATATTCGAATGCCGTTTCACCGATCATTGCTAAATCGATTTTCTCGTATTATGTATGTATACGTAGTACGTTCGTGAAACGAAGAAGATACGTAAAACGACGATGATGGTGACATTACTATGGTGAAAACACAATATTACTATGATCTTAATTTGTACTTATAATATTTTATAGGTAACAAACTTATTTATTATATTTTGTGTGCATCAGTAGGTATCCACACCAAATATGTTATCACAATTTCATCGTTCTTTGGGTCACTCTCATAATTATTGTAGTTAGTAAGTCGATGAAAATTACATAGGTAGGTAGTAGGTGCTTACATATTATTATCCGACCTGAAAATGAATTAGCTGTACATTAAAAGCTTTTAATGCCCACCTAGTGGGTACCTGATCATCACAAAGAGTCATATCCTTGGAGACTTTAACGCTAGAGAAAGCGTCCTCCCCACAAAAAAAATATATTATTCTCGTGTGTACCTAAAATAGGTACACTGTTTACTATTTTTAAACCTTCTCTGTTAAACTTTTTACTAGAGAAGATTTCAAAAAAACTGTTACTCGGTGAAAACACAGAAATCCCAACATTTACTGTGAGCATACCTACATGAATGTTCTTATTTTGTATAGGTACATATTATTTACTATAGATTACCTATAAACACTATTAATTGTTATCCACCCTGCACCAGTGATCAGATAATACTGTACAATTTTTATTTATTGTCTATTCAATATTTTTTGTGCTTTTTATGGTTAAAATCATATTACATACTGCATAAGAAATAGTTGTTATTAATTCACAATTTATAGTAGATTATAAAATATTCTATAATTTATATGCAGGTGTTTGAAGTGAATATTGTTCTGTATTAACATTTCATATCATATTATCATATCACATTAAATACAAAATAATAAATATTAAACATACTGCAGTTACAAAATTTAAGTATTAAGATGTAGATTTTTTTTTGGGGGGGGGGGGGTGCTAGTTTGCACTGTGGTTAGCCGTAGTCAATTACTGAGCTAACTCTGAGGTCAAGCATCATCTAGTGTCCCTAGCCCCCTGGGTGGATGACAACCTGGGTTGGTAGACGAATTCTCACCCCTATACAAGTGTGTCCAAACTCCAAACCAACCTTACCCTCTCCTCCATAGTATAAAAACCTACTAATAAAGTAATAACCGTCATGCTAATGATGACTTTAGATGCTGAAGCCTTAACTATACGTCGTCGTTTAAAATAGAAAATATACTATATAATATGTACGATAGGTATATTATATACTAAACATCGTAAGTCGATCGTTTACATTTGAGTGAGGTATGGGAATAAAGATAACCCGAGTTGTAATACTATAATGTCGCACCCGCAATAACAATAACTCTTGGGTTGACTACTAAAGCATTTTGTCTTATTTGGTATTATTTCGGTGGCACTCTACCCACGCGTAATAATAATACGTGAACATACCTATTACTATCATAATGACAGAAAATTATTTCGAAGTTTTCGTTTTTTTGTAAACATATGTTATGTTTAGACGGTCGACTGTAATAAATCGGTGCGCCCCCTTCACAAGTCTCGTCAAGTCTGGCCGAATTAGAAAATATACCTACGATATGAGACGTTTTCACATACCTGTCTACGTTTTTTAATATCCGCGTAGGATATTATTTTTACCGGCTGCCTATATGCCCACCTACCAGCAGCGGCTCTGGGTTTGTTTTCGTAGGCAAATTACATTCAATTAAGCGCACCAGAAAAATAGTCGTCGTTCATTGTGTCCGGAGCCCCGACTACCGGCAATACAATGCGTGAGCCAGTTCCTAATTAAGAAAAATATGATTCCCCGTAGCTATGTTCGCCGCCTTTGTATAATTAAATATTGTTCGCGAAAACAAACAATATCGTTTCACAAAGCACGGGATATGATATTTGTGTGCGTGTGTGTTTGTGGGTACATATAGGTATACTTACACGGGTATCGGAATTAGGTCACAAGAAATTGGAACTAACGCGTGTAGGCATAGTAAGTACTGATTATAATACCTAAAAAAATGTTGTACATAGTATCGTGTACTTTATTAATTTATTATGTTAACATGCGAACGAAACAAAAAGTCTGCGCAATAATAACTGAATTAGTGTCGCGTGTGTACTATACATATATACGATACCTAGGTATACACATTACATCCGACGTGAGTTAAACACTCTCGATGGATACTATTTTGCTCACAGTTGTAGTATAATTACTAATTAGTAATGACTACACAGCAATATTTTTATAATATCTTTAAAAATTAATGTTTCCCACGACGAATGCGGTTTCTGTACCTTTTCGATCGTATAACATAATAATATTTTTAAAAATGTTGGAAGAACGCATTAATTAATATATAATATTAAAAACTGTTTTTTTTTTAAACGCTGGCAAACTCGCTTCCGCTGTATAGTTGGTTATCAGTGTAAAGTCGTCATTGGATAATTGAATAGTTTTAATTCGATGCTATTGTACAAGAAAAATATATAATGTATAGAATATTATTCTAAGCAAAAGAGACATGCGTGGATCAGAGTCTACTTTTAGGTTAACAAGTTATGTTATATTTATATTGATAAATATTATTAATTTCTTAATTCGTTAAATATGAATAATTGTGTCCAAAAAATTAAGTCAAATGACTATTGTAAGTCAATACCTTGACGTACTGTAGAATGACGTGAATATGTTCGACATGGTAAAAAAAAACTTAAAAATTGGTTTTGAAAAAAAATGATGACCATTTTATATTTAATTTCTTAAAAGACAACTTGTAAGGTTAAAACTTTGTATTCCAGTATGTTTCAAATTTGAAAAAATTACACATTTTCTGATTTTTAACTAAAAAATAATTTAAGAATTCCGCCAAAATTTGAACTTAACAGGTTTTTTTTAATTAGCTTTGTTTATGAAAAATTACAAACTATACAGTAATTAAGTGCAATAAGTAGCTTATTGTGTATTAATTAATAAAAGTGAAAAAAGACATGAAAGGAAGTCTCACAGTTAAGACACCTGCAGATGATGTTGTACAAAGTATATATGCTCGGGTATTGTTTGAGTTTCTTATCACAGTTATAATACTAGTGATTTGCGGGCTACAAAAAAATTGAAAGCTGTGGTAACTGGTAAGGTAACTGCAGAATGACTGTTGAAGACATAATATGCGTGCAATTATATTCAATTTGTGATTTGTATAATGTGTGCTAATTGATAATTATTAAATATTTGAAAATAAATTAATATACTTTATTCATATTCAATATTCTAGTAAATTGTTATAACTCATTATGAAAAAAAATTTAACGAAACAAATATAAAAAATAGTATTTGACAGCTATATATAACTATGTTTAGAATATTTTGGTTACTGCATATTAATATAATTTCATGATATATGTAACCTAGTCAAATAGAGTTGTTATACTGATAATAATATGCCATATTATAATCTGTTTTATGGACAGAGGCAGCTTGCCGATTTTTGTGATTATGATCAATTTCATGATCAAATATAATCGATATTTTTTCCCGTGTGGTATAGTGACTGAGATAGAAACAACTGTATTATAACTTTTGTCTCAGTTGGATCGTTTATTGTACAATAAGTACCAAAAATTAAACAAAATCATCAAACAACAAATGCATATTTATAATATATTATACACCTACAAAATACAAAAAATACGTACATATCCATTTTTACAACATTGTATTTGTCAAGATACATCAATGCAGTTATGTGTTCTTTTAAAAATTGTTTTGATTTGAAAATTCGACAGGCTGTACGCTATATGGCCTTTAGCGAATATAGTCAAATTCGACCAACCAGTTATTAAATTTAGAGGTCGATTGATGAAATTTACGAATCAACTCGGCCATTGCTGTTTTTCTTTCATTTCCAGCTGAGTACATCTTACCAAAAGAATCGTGTTTAAATAAAAAATGACGTTCAATATTCGATTTTTTTTATTGTTTTTGAAGTTTTCGTCACAAATGAAACATTTTAGTTGTCCCATGGTATTCTGCACGAATGTATAAATATCAGTCTACTCACTTAATCGTTATTAAAATATTCTGAAATATTATCACTATAATAACGCAGGTACAATGTAATTTATAGTTTATGGATCTCAATGTATTAATAAATTTTCCAAAGGGCCGCAGGTTCCTGACCTCAGCTACAGGCTCTAGTAAAACCGTAAAGGGGTTTTTAAGATTCCCTACGCACGTAATAAACCGATATTAATATTTTGAATACGATCGACTGATATTTAAGATCAGCTGGTTAGAA